CACGATTTGTCAGTACTGCAAATTAGTAGATATGGATTTCGTAGAATTTGTTGATCGTGTAATATGATCGCCCACGTGGACGATCCACGACTTGCACAGTTAGCTTACGTTGTGGAGGAGGTTGTAAGCAGATGTTTACACGGGAACTGAGGGTACCCCCCAGGAGGCCCGTCGCGCGGCAAGAAGGCAAAGTCAGCGGACGAGTCGCGCGCGTACTATAGGGATTTCGCGTCAAGTTAAATAGAGTGTCCCACTGCACGTCCTACATCGCACACCACGCGCTGCAACTCGTCCGCCGACTCTGCCTTCTTGCCGCGCGACGGGCCTCCTGGGGTACCCGGGAACGATCATGTAAGAGCGCGTGGGACAAATAATAACGACGTCACGGTTTCCGTACCAGCTTAGGGTTCAGCTGCACTGCATTTCGACCTTCAATAAAGTAGAGAATCACAAGAGGTGTATTTTTTGGAAGGCGGGCTCATAGCATGCAGCCTTGAAAGAAATCATTATTACTTGTGCTCTTACATGCTTGGTCACCATGTATATTTAGTGTACTTGTGACATCAGCTGACATCAGTAATATCAAAAACACCCGCGATATTGATTTTTTTCGAGATTGAATAACTAAGTCCGCAATTGCGGCACAGTCAGCCGCGAAAAGCAAAGTGTGCTTCTAATCTTGTCTCTTGGAAGAGGGATCATACGGCTGAACCCCACTTTCTCACGTATTTGGGCGCGGCCCGCGCAAAGCCCCGATACGGGGAATTCTGGAGATATACGGTCAAAACCATATAAAACATCTCCTTCTTGAGGTAAAAACGCGACAAAGTCTTAGGCAGGGGAAGAGACTCAGGGTGCGAGAGCAACTGTCATTTCCTCCAAGTTCCTGCCTGTTCCTAAGCTTAATCCTAGGTAAGATGCCAGTATTTTGCTACAGCACCCTTGCAAAAATCGATCGATAGTGCAGTGGAGGTGAGGGAAGAGCAAGTGGAATTTTTGTTGAAAAAATCTTATAAAAAATTCGGAGAAAAATCCCACCTCTTTCTTCCATTCTTCTCGATCGTCTGCTAGATTGCACCTCTTTTTCCGGATGACCGCCTTCCTTAGCGCTAGGGGTGGATGGCAACTGAAATCGATATCGTTAGTAATTCATCAAAACAAAGAAAATTGTTAGCAAAACAAGCAACCGGTGAAATTCACTTGACAAAAACCAAAAGTGAGCTATGGCGGTTGGACGTCGGAGTGAATGCATATACTAAACAACTGAATACACAGGGATCTTACTCTTTGGGGTTTCATGGTGCCAGTTACCTAATGGTACCACTGATGGAGAGAATGATGTATTTGAACAACTTCTCACACATTATTTTGGCTTGAATAAAATACTTTTGAATAAAATTAGCAAGATTTCTAAAGCTCACTGGTTTTCCTAGCACATTAAGTACTTTCTGGTTAACTCCTTATTCTTCAAAATCTATATAAAAGGCGGACCAAGCAAATAATCTATACTATAACGGGCTTCGTATCTCGAAGGTAAGAGTTTTGCTTATTTTGGCAGTACTTTTACCGGATCTCAGCCACGATAGAAGAATATAAAAGGATGATAGGACAAAGCATTTGCCGTTGATCAATCCTTTTGGGATGCGGCACGCATTCTACTTCCATTTGTACATTCGTAGTGGCGTTTGAATGCGATGTGGCCTATACAATGACTTGCGGGGCCAGCCGATGTACAAGTCAGTGTTTTTATCCTCCCAGACAAGTCTGGTACCAATTAACCGACCCCGGAGGGATGGAAGGCTTGGTTGGCCCGGGCGACTCACGACCCAGGATTTGATCCCCGGACCGCTCGCGTGGTAAGCGCCACCACTACACCACTTCCGCCCATAATAAAA